CAACATCATTTTCCTAATTCAATGCCAAATAGTGAAATTTCTAAACATGATACATAACATGTTCCCTGATGATATTCTTGTAGTTAATAAGGCAAGTTGTTTGTCCTGTCAATACTTAGTCATTGAAATCCATTTGGTAAACAATAGGAAATAGTCTACTAAGAAATAGGCAAATATATATTCTTGATTTGCACTCAAATATTCTGAACTCTTATTAAAATCAGGTAATTACATTAACATTGCCTTAGTTGTGTTTTGCAAGTAAGAACACAGCTGCCAAGCCCAGCTGCATGAAGTATTTAGGCAGGAAAAGTAGGATAACAGGTATAATTAGCTCTTGCATATAGTTATGCGATCTTATAAATTTAATTGGTTTTCTATCACATGATTTTTTGCAAGCATCAACATGTTAATCATAGTGAAATTTGTGAGCAAGTCATGAATGGGCTGTTGCTAAGCTCTATTGTAAGACTGTTCCTGGCTTCTAAATTGTAGTAAACTTTAAGCAACTTTTTACATATCGACCAATGAAGCAACATTGGCTGAGGTTATTCAACATATGAAGCCATAATACAGGTAGACTTTTACATACAAACGAATAGAGAGCTTCTATGTTACAGTCATATGTCATAATGGTCAGTGATGTGGCTGACTGGATTTTACAACCTTTTTTGTGGTGGTTGTTAAGCAAATCTACAGTTGTAAAGCAAACATCATTGTCGTTAAGTGAACCAATCATATTGCTGGTTTTATTTTATTGCTGACACTTCTGTGTCAATTTTCAGCAAAACCATCATAAAATGCAATCAGGTGGTCATTGGCCATAAAATACAGTTGTGTTGCTGAGTGCCCAAAGTTCAGTCAAGTGACTGAGGAGGGGTCCCAACAGTCAGAACTTCGAATCCGGGTAGTAATCCCCTTTTTGGATTGGTTATAACTATGAAGGGTTACTATGACTACCTGTGTTGTTTTGCCTCATTTGGACTCAGTATGTTGTAAGAATTCAGGTGCTGTAGTTCTTAAATGATAGTTTGTGGCTTTAATGTGTTACTAAAATCAGTCAATTAATGGTTCATTAAACCATGGTTAAGCAAGCCACAACTCAATGAAATGTGTAAATGTAACAATTCAAAACTGCTTTTGCATTCAAATAAAAAAATGGCAGAAGCAAAGGCTACTCTGATTAGTTTGTTTAAGATGATGGCTAAAGTCTGGCCATACTTATGTAGGAGGAAGCCATTGTGAATCAAGCAGGTCGTATGTTTGAACTAATTCATCCTAAGATCAAAATAATTCAATTACAACAAAGAATAGTTAAAGCAATAGTCTTTCCATTGGTATTACAGGTAATCTTCCACTTACGACCACAATTGAGCCCCAAATTTCTGTTGTTAAGTGAGACATTTGTTAAGTGAGTTTTGCCTCATTTTACAACATTTCTTTCCACTGTTGTTCAGTGAATCTCTGCAGTTGTTAAGTTAGTACCACAGTTGTTAAGCAAATCTGGCTTCCCCACTGAGTTTACTCATCAAAAGGTTGCAAAAGAGGATCACGTGACCTTGGAATGCAGCAGCGGTCATAAGTTGCAGCAGTTGCCAAGCATCAAATTTTGATCACATGGTCATGGGGCTGCTACAAAGTGTGAAAAATGGTCATAAGTCACTTTTTTCAGTGCGTTGTAATTTTGAATAGTCACTAAATGAACTGTTGTAACTTGAGGACTACCTGTATATGGCTAGGAATATGAGATACCAAGAAAGTAGATGACCAGGCTCAGCCTGAGGGAGGAGTCAAACTCATCATCAGTCTCAAGTCTTTTCACACACACATGAGAGCTAAGTTCAGCCCACCTTGAATACATTGACTCTTACCTACCATCTATTTTAGTAGTGTTAAACACGCAGCCCATGGGCTGGATACAGCCAGCGCAGGCCACACCCACTCTGGCTCTACAAGTGTAAAAGCAATCCCGATACGTCACGATAAAATCCGCGATGCGATTCGGTTTGACGCCCCTGATCTATTTGCTTTGACTGTTACTAGTTCAGATTCTTGTAGAGCGTTTAAGCTTGCGATAAACCTTTATATTCATTTGAACTGCTTTGACTTCCTGATTTTTCCCACACTTGACATTAAGAGAAAAAAGAGATGCAGCTTTGAATACGAATATTAAGACACTTATGATTAATATCATGGACTAAAAAAAGGAACCAATTAATCAATCCTGGCCCAAATGGAAGACTGACTGCTCCCTTGAGACAATGATCAATTTAAATTGTTTGAATATATTTTGGCACTATTTAAATCCAACTGATTCTTGATGGTTCACAATAGACAGGCAAAGTACAAGTTTAAATGTTATTATGGTTGTTGCACAGTCAACCAATTGTTTAGTCTGGATTTGTCATTTTTGTCCACCTTGAGGCTTGGACTTGGGATAGCAGATGTTGTTTGATGATATCAAAGGTATCATCACAGTGGGCCCATCCATCCTAACCCAAAGTCAGGAAAATAATGAAGTCTTCAAGGCCTTGGCATTCTTGTCCACCTCTCAAGTTCTTCCCAAGGATCTGGAACAGGCAGATGTTTTTGTTTAATAATATTAAAGTTATCATAACAGGATGTAAGTTGTTGCAGGTAAAGCTAACTTTTGCAGCTGACTGGTAATGATTTTGTCAACGCCTATGGTGTTCAAGTGGTGCTCCAGATGTTTTGGAATTACACCCAAGGCACCTCTTACTATTAGTACTATCTTTGCTTTCTTTTGCTTTCTACATCTATTATTATGGTTGGTTGCACTGTCAGCCAAAAGTTTAGACTGGATTTGGCATTTTTGTCCACCTTGGGACTTGGACTTGGGAGAGCAGATGTTGTTTGATGATATCAAAGGTGGGCCCATGCATCCTAAGCCAAAATCAAGAGAATAATGAGGTCTTCAAGGCCTTATGGAGTTCTAACAGGGTGTGGACAACATAAATTTTTAGGGAAGATCTCATTCCAGAGGCAGGCACCATGACATAGAAGGCACCTTTCCCAAGCCCTGATAGATTGCCACTGTTTAATCAAAGGCTGACTTTAAACAAATATAAATATTTGTTATATAATATTTATATATTATATAAATATTCAGACAGCTGAATGCAGCTTTTCATACTTATTACTGAACTGGGCTAAAATTATAGGATTAACTGGGGTGATGGCATTATTAAGTAAATAGTATCTAATCCATGCTATGCATTAAATAATTAGACTAACTAGATTTGTAACCTAGGACTGTATTTTAGTCCTATCTTACAAATCCATAATCTTCCAGTTACGACCACAATTGAGCCCAAAATTGAGCCCAAAATGTCTGTTGCTAAGCGAGATAGTTGTTAAGTGAGTTCTTCCCATTTTATGATTTTTCTTGCTGCCACTGTTAAGTGAATTACTGCAGTTGTTCAATGGCTCCCTCATTGACTTTGCTTGTCAGAAGGTCGCAAAAGGTGATCACATGACCCTGGGACACAGCAACTATCATAAACATGAGTCAAGCGTCTGAATTTTGTTCACCTGACCATAGGGATGCTGCAATGGTCATAAGTATGAAAAATGGTCATAAGTCACTTTTTTCAGTGCTGTTGTAACTTTGAACAGTCACTAAATGAACTGTTGTAAATTGAGGATTACCTGTATCTGAAAAGAGCAGCACTCTTTTATGTTAAGCATCCATTTGATTAATAGAAATGCAACAACATGATTTTGCAGTGTGAAGATGTCAGTTAGTAAAGAGTTTCATATCCCTCTGAATTTTTTCTAATAATGAATTTGAATTTGAATTTGAATTGGCGTAAATCATGGGGGTGATATAGAAATATGATTTTGTACAATTTCATTGTACACATGTTGTGCATTGACAATAAAGGTTTGAATTTGAATTTTGATAGACCCACTACTAGTAGAAATGCTGGTTGTGCCAAGGTTGTAAAGTGTTATGTATCCACCTATATCAGGGGTCAGCAACCCATAGCTCTGGAGCCGCATGTGGCTCTTTCATCCCTCTGCTGTGGCTCCCTGTTGCCTGTTGGCTCCACAATTGATAGGGCTTTCGGTTAGGACAGGTAGAGGAAAAAGGACGGCGTGCTAGGAGGAGACTCTATGGTGGGGAAATGGGACTTCCGCTCGGCTCCAGAATTGAATGGGGGGCTTCTGGTTAGGACCTTTGTGGCTCTTTGACTATTTAAGGTTGCTGACCCCTGACCTATATGAAAGAGAAGCAAATGATCAGCTTGTGACAACATAACGTTTCTATGAACCTGCTGAGAAAATAAGAGTGATTAAACACTGACACTACACAAACTAGGAGACATATTTGTTTTTCAAGCAGACAGTTGTTGATCCTACCATCCTGGCATTGCTGTTAACACTCTTCAGGAAAGCAGGCTAAAAGAAAGAGATTCCCACAAAGTAAAAGGTTAAAATGTATTTGATAACATTCATTTTTCCAAAAATTCATTAAATCAGTGGGTATAATTAGCCTCACATTTCGGAGGATTATTAACTGATATGCAGACCGTTTGTTGAAAGAGTCCCTTTCCAACCTGGTGCCAGTAACCACAGGTTAGCTCTCCTAATGGGGGATTATGAGAATATCTAAAGGATGTGAAATTGGGGATAGTGTAATAAATGTACTTTTAGTGAAAAGAAATATAGAAACTCTCTTAATCAGAGGATAATTGGAAGATATATTATTATATTTAGGGCTCCAGAACTCTCCTGCTCTAAGGAAACAATATGTTCACAGGCCACTTGAGGCAATATTTTTATTATTCTTTGGAAACTTAGCTGGCCTCACCATTTTTTTTGTCCTGAAGATCCCAGTTTCTACAGTCAGCAACATCAAACGCTCTTGAGAAATTGAATTATTTGAAGTGACTGGTGAAAAAAAAGTGTTTTAGAAATTCCTCCATTTGTTTTCTTTAAAGCATTTAGCAAGGAGAAAAACAAGAAAACAAGATGCCAGAGACAAGACAATTTTTTCATTTATTTTCACAGAATTAATAGAAATAAGCTTTTTTTTCATACATTATTGTTGTGGGGTGGGAAGGGTGTATGTGTTAAGGAGAGTTTCAAAAATTATCTTATAAACCAGAGACAAATGAGAGTGGCTTGTATTTGTTTCTATTTTTATTAATCCTTTGTTAATTTTAATAACGTAGGAAAAGGAATTTTAGATGTCAATACGGTATACTAAGCAGCCACAGAGAAGATTTTGTAAAATAATTTAGATGTATTCAATAAATACAATATAATAGCAGCCTTCTACAATGGAGGCTACATAGAGATTTCCTCCGGCTTGAAGTACCCTGGTCTTTAGTACACCTACCGGAGCAGACGTGCTCCAAAAAGTGTTTTAAAGAGACATATCTATAAGATACATATAAAAGAGGGTCTAAAATTAGAAAGAATTTTCCCCCAAGATATTTTTTACCATGGTCTCCACATATCCAATGACCCCATGTTAACACCATTATGTGCAAAATGAGGTTGCAAAATCTCCCTGGGATGCGGCAACTCATGCTGATTACATCGTGATGATGATTGTGGCTGAAATGACTTTTTCAATCCCAGTTTGACTTCAGTTGGATACATCTGATCCTGAGATTGGCTAGAACCTGTTGTATTTCCCTTGCCATTCACTGGAGTGGAAGGGTTCGGGTTCTCCTTGCAAGCCTCCTCATTGGATTTGGGCAAGGATTTCAATAGATGGTTCAATAATCGTGCTCCAAGTGTCTTGTCCATCCAGTCACAAGTCAGGAGGAGATTGTGGACTTCATGCATGCACTGAATATATCCAGTGCTGTACCTCTGCTGAGCTTCAAGGCCCATTTTAGAATCTGCTAAATGAAGAAGAGAGATGCTTTCAATCATTTAATGCATAAGAACTGAAATTTGTTTGACTGACTCTTTTCCCATAATAGTAGGTACTACTCTGACTTTAAGTTCCTGGCTTGGATCATCTATTGCAGGGGTGTCAAACTCAATTTCACTGAGGGCGCATCAAGGTTGTGTTTGAACTCAGGGGGCTGGGGGGGCGTGGCCAAGGTGGGAATGCCATCTCAATGTCATTTATCGAGGCTCCATTTTTGGCCATGACTGCCTTCCCCGGTTTCCGTTTTCGGCTGTGACAGCCTCCTGCAACCCTCTGCCAGTGAAAACAGAGCTTGGGAGGCCCGCATGCGGCCTCCCCGAGCTCCCTTTTCGTTGGCAGCAGCACCGCAGGCCGATCCTTTGCTGTCTCCAGGGTGGGCCCACGGGCCAGAGCCAGCTCACAGATCTTGAGTTTGACACTCTTGAACTATTGGGATCTAATCATTTGCAAATAGACATGAAATAGATAAAAACTAGATTATAATTATTCTTTAACTTAATACAAAAGAATGGTAGAACTTTTGGTACTGTATGAGCTATTTGTTTACAGATGTTTCACTACCCAGTGCCATGCCCTGATGATGTTACCTAATTGGGTAATGATATGTCTGCAAGCAAACATCTAAGCTCAGAAAGTAGCAAGGACTGCACAATTCAACACTGAGCCCCATGCATTGTCTTCTAATGGAAACACATATGAATGTATTAAAAAACATTCTAGATCTAGTATAAGAAAATATTTTTGTGCAAGGGAAAGTTCAGTTACTTCTCCAGATAGCACCTGAGCAACGTTTGAATAGAGTAAGAACTCTTTACCATGTATTATATAAACACTACTGACAATGAATAGAGAATGATCTCAGTAGGCACTGCCAGGCATGTAAAGAATACCAACTGGTAAGGAGAAAAGAATTACAAGGTAAAGATTTGATCTATGGGTGCCCATTATACCAGACCCTTTTCAAACATTCAGAGAAAAAAAATTCCAAACTTCTAAACTACTTTTACAAGACGAATGAAGTAACTACATTAATGATACATATCATTGATACAGGAAATAGAATAACCTAGAAAAGACCTTGTTGGCTACCAAGGAGAGCAAAATTGAAACTATGAGTGATTAAATGTATTGGTATCCAAGCTACGTGTTGAAATTCAGTTCTGTGCAGACATATGTCAAGTGAAATTAGTTGCTAAATTCAATAGCTATCTAATGCCTCAATTTTCTAGAAAGACTAAGACCCCCATATGTCTTTCTAACCATTTTGGCAAATATCAATGGAAAACAAAACAAAATGGCATTCTAAGCTATTTCATTTCAACAAAATTCCCTTCAGAGCACACAGGGCCCTGCCACATTCCAAAGATTTATATAAAAAATAATGGCAAGGGAAAATATATGAAGCCGACATTGATGATCTACTGATCTTCTTTTGGGACAGCTTACTACCAGAAGTGTAGATTACTCTTTGCTCACTCTTGTTTTTAGAGCACAATTAAAATACAGTTTTTCATATTTTTTATGTCTTAGGAGAAATAAGATTGTGCTCTCCCAAATGGTGGTGGATCAAATTGTTTGATTATAATTGTATTAATGGATTTTAGTTTCTTGTTATATTAATGCTACAATACAGTAAAGCTACTTAGAGCTTCAGAAAGACATATACTTTGTAGTAATAAAACAATGAAGTTATATGTAGTTTAACTTGAGAAGAACTCCCAAGCACATAAACACATTATTTAAATTATATAAAGGTGCTTATCATAAAACTGGCCAAGTGTTACCTAGAATATCAAGAGTGAAAATATTTACAGTTCCTAGTAGGAAATGGAGTTCCCTAAATTCAAACTAAGGAAACTGAAAGGCATTTACAAACTAAGAAAATCTTGCTAGCCTAACTGGATATTCCATCTGGTTGTTCCACTCAGGCTTATATCCTTACTGACCAGGATCAAGCAAGGATCAAAAGAGACAGGCAGATTCCAGAGTTTCAAAAAGCATCTGAAGATTTAAAAGAGTTATTACATCAGAGCCCTATTCTTAAGGGGCCTGATTCTGACTGAACTTTCTATCTAGAAGTAGCCCCTTCTGATTTAGACATAAGGCAAGGTCAATAAAAATGCCCAAGGACAGAGACTGTCCTTGTAGTTTATCCACCAAAGAAGCTTACATCCTACAGCAGGGGTCTCCAACCTTGGAAACTTTAAGCCTGGCAGACTTCAACGGAGTTAGTCCGCCAGGCTTAAAGTTGCCATGGTTGGAGACCCCTGCCCTACAGCATGGTAGAATAAAAGGTACAGTATGAGATAGTAAAAGTATCTTTTCTCACATAAATTATTGAAGTATAAAGTTTTCTTATGGAAGAGAGAATTCCTTACACTACATAGCCACATTAAGCAAAGCCATTCAAACATAGCATCTTTAGCTGTGAGTAGAAGGGGACTTGAAAGAGAAGAGGTTGTTCTTCAGGCTGCAAGACAGAAAATCTGTCTTGCAGCCTGCTAACAGCCAACAGCTCCAAGGAAATAAAAGGCTTGTGGTAACCAAAATCAAGAACACAGACTGTGCCAGGACAGTAATTCAAGGACCCTAGCAGGAGGCCCAGATTAGGCCTTAGGCCACACTGAAGTTCAGAAAATTAAAGGACCTGGAAAGGGTTAATCAAGTCACAAAACGAAGGCACATGGGTAATCTGGCTGAAACAGTAGCAGGCATTGTGTTGGTAAAACACAATGGTATTAACTCTGAAGAACACACTGTATCCCCTGAACAATGGGGAAAGGGGGGGGAGCTCAAGGAGGTTTGTATCTGAGAATCTTGAACCCAATAAAATTCAAAAACTATTTGTGTGCACATCTTTGGCCATTTCCCAAACAACCTTGATGTTATGTCATCATTTTATACAAAGTGCAACTTCACTGAAGCTAAATATATACATACTACCTTGTTTCTTCTCTGTCTCACTTTATCGCTCTCATTCCTGCTTCATTATTTCTTTGAATAACTTTGCCAAGCTACTGAGCTGGTTTTCATATATAAAATAGGAGCATCTACAGCCAATATATAGATACAGAATATCAACTCACCTATATTTCTGTTGTGTTGGATATTCTGGAGGTGTTTTACTGTCATTTCCAAGATATCTGCTTTTTCAAGTTTTGACTGCTATTTTAAAATGAAATAACAATTATTATCATATCCTATTTGAAAGCTGCTGAAAAATGAAATATAGATGGAAATAAAGAAATGTGGGAATGGAAAAATGTTAAAATCTATGCTTACATCAAGCCGAAAGGCTCCAACAACTGTTTCCTTGAGCTGATCCAAACAATTGTTAATCCGCTCTCTTCGCTTCCTTTCAATCAAAGGTTTTCTTAACTGAAATAATTAAGGGAGAATATTAGGGATGGCTTGCTTGATTTGAATCCATATAGGCCTTCATTGAAAGAAGTTATTTTCCAAAGCAGATTCTTTCATCATACGATGAAACAACATATATGGAAACTATCAGACAATCTTTATTATCAGTATTTAAATAATTACAATTCTGGAGCATTTTCTGTTAGGCAAATTTGCACAGTATAAATTTAGATTGATACAGTCAAGCAAACTGATAGTATAATCCTATGTGTATATATTCAAATTAAGTCTTAACTTTAGTCAGTGGAGCATATTTTCAGATCAATCTATATTGGGTTGCAGTACTATAATTTCTAATAATCCCATTATTAAGTAAATGGTTTGTGAATGTAGTTCCTAAAACTTAGAAGTGCAATTTGCTTTCCCTTTATCTCATGTATTGTAATGTCAAATTTTATTAATAGATTTGTATTCCTTGGCTACTTCTTTCATTCAGCCTAATTAGCGCTAAAGGGAGGTAAGCTTTTCTAATGAAAATCATAATAGCCACATTACCCAAGCCAGCCATGCCCTGTGCTTTTCTTTTTTCTAACAATATATATTTTAGTTTAACACTGTCCATAAATGTAATCTGCTTTTATATAGCTCTGTTTTTCTACTGCATCCTACAGCTAAAGATGAGCTCTATTATATTGTATATTAAGTACATAAGAATATATAAATAGATTGATTCACCCTCAGGACTTCTGTGCACACAGTATTTTTTATCTTGGGTTTTCTACTTGCTGCATGCATTTTTAAATTTTATTTCTATCAAGGGTCAGAAATAAGCAATTACCTACTAGAAGGAAGTAATTCTTGGAAAAGCAACGAAACACATCTAGATAGCACATATGTGCAAACAGCCTTTTAACAGTCCCACAGAGCCACTGAAATAGTATGGCACCCTTGTTTGATCCCTTCAGAGATGGCAAGTTTCTTACAATGAATTTATTTATAAAATAATGCATACCTTCCTTTCCTCTTTGGTATTAGAAAGTTTCTGTCCGCTGCTGGCTAGGGTTGTAGCTGTCATTGTAGTCCTGCACGCCTGCCTGAAGGCTTAGGGGAGAAAAGGGAGAAAGCCCTATAGCAACTGGCTTCTCTCGTTGTCTTCTGGAGCATTCTCTGTCATGAGAGCACTCTGCTAGCATTTATAGCTGGATATTAGCATGTGAATGAGGAAATTGCTTAGCTGGTCTCCTTTTCCCACAGAAGGGGTTGAGGCCAGAGGCTTGTGACCATCAATCAAGGCTGACAGGTCACTACTTATCAATGGCCAGATCACACACACAGTGCCTAAAGAGCGACAGATGTCCAGCTTCATGAAAGCTTTGCTTGGTAGAAATCTTTTGTTTAAGGAGGCAGAAAACAAGTGCCAGAGATTATTTGGCTCCTTTCTAAATCAGCACTGATTCCCAGGGGAAAAAAATACCAATAATCTAAACCATAACCAACTGAGAAATATCTGGGCTGCTGGGATTAATGGAAATACCAACTTTGTATTTGAATCTTTCTTGGCTCACCTATTTTCTGCCCTTTGGAATGCTTGGGGCAACATTAAAAATCTTCAGGCAGGAACTCTGTGTATTCTTCTTTCACACCTGGAACACAAATGTGTACAAATGAGTATTAAGCACTTATCGTATTTACAGTAACTGGAATGTTTTTGAGAACATGGGATTGCACAAGTCAAGGTCTTGCAAGCTTCCCAACATTTTTCCACAGAATGAATCATCACCACAGGAAAATATTGGATGAGAAGCTTTGTCTCTGCAAATGCCCATGTGCCCATCAAGAGCAGGATTGAGGAAGCTACACAATATCAGACACTGGATCGGGGCAAAGTTCCTTTGTCTACTCATTGACTACAAACAGATTTTCCATTTCATTATAAAAGTATGATGGAGAAGTTATTGTTGCCACAGAAAAGGTTGGGGAACACAACCTGGAATTTTTCTGTAGATTATAAATAATTCTATAAATTACTGTATAAATAATAATTTATAAATAGAATGCCCACTCCAAAATTTAATAGCAACTTAATAATCAGTGTCATATATCAGAAGTGCTAAAGGTGACTTGAGGATTATCAATCTTAAAGATGTTTATTTTAGATAAGTTTCATTGTGGACTTTCAGTTTCTTCTTAGGGATATCATCATTGTCGTCATCATCATGAGTTGGAAGGGAGCGTGGAGGTCTTCTAATCTAATCCCCTGCTTAATATGTACTAGCTCTAGGTTTCTAAAATATATATTATTGTTTTAAATTGTATCCAATCTTTAAAAGTTGAAATGCACCATAAAATAATCTTAAAAACCAAATTTACTTTGAAGAAATTATGGTAAAGCAAGAAAGAAGTTGTTAACTCTTTTCCAATCCATCACAATGGATTTAATTAATACAACAGATTTCAGAACTGTGGCAAACCTGTATATAATTATTTGATGTGTTGTAGCAAGGAAGGTTGAATTATGTCAGTTTCTATCTGCTAACACTATGGCTTCATATTGTATAAAAATACCTTGATTTTCTTGGATAGATCCTTTTTGCAAATCACTACTCTAATCTTAAGTTTAACATTAACAAGTATAATTCTAACTTTAGAAGATTGAATTGGAAAAACAATTTTAAAAAGTAGTAAGAAAGAACCAGAAATGTGACATTGGTCAACATGGGTTTCTACATTAGGGAAGTTTTATTTTATATGACAAAAGATCACTAAGGGCAATTTTTATACATAAAGTTTTTAATTCCTGCACTCTTGATACAATCAATCAATCCAAAATTTCAGAAAAATTTGTTCATTTTTTTGCTGCATGCAAACATATAATATCCATCCTGGAGGAGGATTATGGGGCCTTTACATTTTTCTGGCTCACTTCACGTCACTAGATCTAATAAATATTTCTTCAACCTCAAAAAATAGCAGAGAAGAAATTACTGTAACTCTTGGTGATCCAGAAACTCATCTTGAGTTAACCATATTACATACAGTATATAGAAGAAGAAGAAAGGCAAAACATGTGGTTTTGTTTTCAACTTGCTGAAAAATAGATTATGACTTCAGTGCTAGAAGATATATCTTTTGTATTGTCTTTGGTGGGAGTAATATTTCCTCATAATCAGGAACAATGAAAACTATCTTAAATAGAATCACCCCTCTTGGGAAACATGTAGATTATAACAGTTCAGTGACTTTCCAATATAAATAAACTTGGCACTAATTCGAAGTCAGGAAATCTATGGTGGAAAGATCATTGTGAAAACTTTTTTTTTTTTTTTTTTTTTGGCCATATGAAATTTGCTGAATGACTATTGTCAAATCAATATTTATTAGTCAGAGACCAGCAAAAGTTATAAACACCCAAGGAATGTCCACGTACAAAATCTGGAATAAAATAATAAGAGATAAAATCTATATTAAAATTACAATTTGGCATCCACTCAGTTACACATGAGCAAATTATGGCATGGTCTAACCATACTATAATATAAATCCTTAAACAGTGAGGCCCATAGAATAACTATTGAAAGGTACATTCTCTTCTTCTTCCCACACTATGGCAGGATCCACTTGTCAGCAAAACTGTCTCCATTTGGATTGACCCATGACGTTTTCAGGGGCAACGCCCATGTAAAGGTACACTCTAAAAAAATATTAAAATAACAACAATGCAAACTTTATTTAACTTGCACAATTTCAACAGACCACTATTTTTGGCTATTGTAATATACAACTTCATTTATATTGTGTGAGCAGTGTTGTGTCAATATATTGGAATAACAACTGGGATAATTTAAAGACTTCTTATGGACATGGACTTTTATTTTATTTATTTTATTTTATTTTAAATTTGATTTATATGCCGTCCTTCTCCGGAGATCAGGGTGGCTTACAATGCGTTAAGCAATAGCCTTCATACTTTTGTATATTTATACAAAGTCAGCTTATTGCCCCCACAAACTGGGTCCTCATTTTACCTACCTTAGAAAGGATGGAAGGCTGAGTCAACCTTGAGCCTGGTGAGATTCAAACTTACAGTAATTGCAGACAGTTGGTGTTAATCACAATGCTTTTAGTCTGCTGAGCACCAGGCCCTTTTTAATGTTATAAAGATATGGAACTTTTATTTAGAAACACATTTTTGTCCGTTATTTATCTTAGTTTCAATAAAGAGATAATCTTATATTTAAATTATAGAAATAAAAACATGATCCATTATTTCTGCATTCAGGATAGCAACTTTGGGCTACTGAGCTCTAATGAGATCATAATGCTATGTGGCTGAGTTGCCACATAGTTGCCACATAGCACCATGTGGTACCTTTTTTACCCCTATGTAATTGACTTAGCAGAATTGCTTGGATACATAAACCATTTTTAATTGACTTGACATGAACCATTGCTCACAACCTATACTAGTTGGGCTCCCAAATCATATTAAAGCAAAACCAAACCAACTCTCAACTTTGCAAGTTCAGTCCAAACTATAAAATTGCAATATATCTGTTAAATAAAAAAAAAAGATGTATCCAGTTAAAAATCTCCCAATCATCTATTTTGTCCCTTTTTTTAAAAAAAAATTTTTTTTGATTTATATGCCGCCCTTCTCCAGAGACTCAGGGTGGCTTACAGTGCGTTAAGCAATAGCCTTCATACTTTTGTATATTTTTATACAAAGTCAGCTTATTGCCCCCACAAACTGGGTCCTCAATTTACCTACCTTAGAAAGGATGGAAGGCTGAGTCAACCTTGAGCCTGGCGAGATTTGATCTTACTTTAATTGCAGGCAGCTGGTGTTAAATTACAGTGCTTAGTCTGTTGAGCTATCCAGGCTCAACAGACTGTTGAGCATGTTGTACATGCTGTACGATTCCAAATATGTTGTATGCTGTATGATTCCAAATATGTTAACTTTTTTGGCCAAGATATGTTATCCCATGTGATTACTATATTTCTATAAAAATTATTCATATATTGTAGGAACTACAGAATTTAATTTAATTTAATTAATTAAATTTATATGCCGCCCCTCTCCGAAGACTCAGGGCGGCATATAAATTTATATTATATGATATTGAATGTCTTTAGCTGGGTAACTGGGTAATCATTCTTATTCAGGCAAAGTATGACATTTGTCTGTGTAACTGAGTGGGAAATAGGAATGTAAATGCAAATGTGTCTGCATATTATTCAAGGGTCTACTCTGTGACTTGCTTTCTCCTCCTTTTTATGTTGCTCAATGCCCGGTTTTTAGGGGGGAAAAAAGAAAAAGCCTTGAATTGCAAAGCTATAGATTTTTTCTGTATTTCCTAAAGCAGTGGAGAATTCATCTTAACTCTCCTTCCTTTTTTTCAGTATGTGTGAATATTTCACATGATTTTAAAAGAAAACAGCATTAAACATCTGTTCCTGTACTTTTTTTTAAGATGAGAAGAAAAGGAGACTTGAAACTAGAAAACAAAAAAAATATGGCAGATGTTTGTGAATCCCCTCCAAGGCAGATGTCTAGGTTAAAAAAAAAAGCTTTAAAAATCGGGTTTAAGAATTCATAGCTCCAACTCTTTTCTGACTTAGGACACGCGACTGCTTGGCTTGTGGAGGGGTGTGGGAAAACTCTAATTCACAAAGAACTTATTCAAACCAACCTAATAGCCATGAAGAATCTAATCGCCAGCAGGAAAATGGACAGCAAGTCCACCAAAGAGGCCCGTAGAGAAAATTAACCCTTTCTGATTTGGTATGCAAAATAAAGATAGAATTCCCACATAGCTTTATTTGACATAGTTGGCCATTCCCACATTACACAGAGGCTTTGTCAAAAGATTCTGTCTACAGTATTAATCTGTGCAATGTCCAAACTGCTGGGCTAAGGATTCATGATTTACAGAAAGTCAAATCCATCAGAATTTTTTTTAAGAAATAATTTTTTTCAGTCAATGATTCTTAATTTTCTCCTTATATTAGGATATATACCCTAACCTTGGATCCCATAAGAGCTTTCATGTCAAGCATGCTTGACCAGTTCAAGCAGCTAATAAGTTTATTCCTGTTGACTATGGATTGCCTTTAACCTTAGTTCATAAAGTCAGGACTTATGCAGTACTGGTTGGTGGGGGAAGTGGGGATATGAATTAGCAGAAGACAATGAGAAATATC